GAGGAGAGGGGGAGAGAGAGAGAGGGGGTGAGGAGAGGGGAAGAGAGAGTGAGGGGGTGAGGAGAGGGGAAGAGAGAGTGAGGGGGTGATGGAGAGGAGGAGGGACAGAGTGTGATAGGGTGAGCGCGTGGGGGCATGGGGAGGGGGCAGGGATGTGGAATGTGAACTCTCACTGGCGCACAAGGTACAGCGTCTCACCAGAAACCGTCCTCCAGCTCCCTCCCCCTCCCGCAGTTCCCGTTGTCCACCTCCTCCTCCTCAGCTGATGTAGATGCGGTGGAAGTCATTGGCTCCGAAGGCAGCGTTACACTTGGGGCATTTTCGCTGCCGCGTGTCGTAGCGGGTTTTCACACACTCGAAGCAGAAAACGTGGAAACACTTGGTCAGCACAGCATCCTTCTTCCGGGTGTTACAGCACGGGCATGTCAGCTTGGCCTTGGTGGGGGGTGCGGGAGACAGAGGGTCAGTCATAGACTCACACCACACAGAAACAGATCCTTCGGCACAACCCATCCGTGCTGACCCCACATATCCTAAATTAGTCCCATTTGCCAGCATTTGGCCCATATCCCTCTCAACCCTTCCTCTCCACGTCCCCATCCAGATGCCTTTTAAATGCTGTAACTGTACCAGCCCCCACCCACTTCCTCTGGCAGCTCGTTCCACACACGCACCACCCTGTGTGAAAAAGTTGCCCCTCAGGTCCCTTTCCCCCTCTCATCTTAAACCTATGCCCCTCTAGTTTCAGACCCCCACCCTCCCCTGGGGTGGAAAAGCTATTTCCATGCTCCTCATGATTTTATAAACCTCTATAAAGTCACCCCCTCAGCCTCCAACGCTCCGGGGAAAACAGCCCCCCAGCCTCTCCCTGTAGGTCAAACCCTCCGACATCCCTTTTCCGAACCCCTTTCCCAACATCCTTCCTGTAGCAGGGAGACCGGGATCGAATGCAGTATTCCCAAAGTGGCCTCGCCAACACAGCTGCAACATGACCCTCCCAACTCCCTACGCTCAACGCGCTGACCAATAAAGGCAAGCGTACCAAACACCTTAGACCTCAATCCCGGCCTCCCACCGTTGTGTCTGGACACACATCCTACCCGAGCATCCCCATTAATTTGAGAGTAACTCTGTACGTGGACGTGGGGGTGACGGGTAGGGGTGGGGGGTGGTGGGTTATATCCAGGAACCATCCTCCTCAACCCTAAAGCCCACGATTCCTGTGTCTCCCCACAGGGACCCCCGGGGTGACCCCAGGGGCTAAGGTTCCCTCTGGTGGGGCAGTGGCAGACAGTCCCGTGGCGCTCTCTCTCTCGCTTCGCTCTACGGCCCTCGCACCCCGTCCCCTCGCCTCCCCACGCTCACCTTGTACTCCTTAATCTCCTCCATCAGGATCTCATCGGCATCAGAGAAGACCTCAACTTTCTTCTGTTTCTCCAGTTTCCGTCGGAGCCTCGACAGATCCTCCTGTGTCAACGGAGAGAGAGAGAGAGAAAAAGAGTGTACCGTTTACAGATAGAGCAGAGGGAGTTACAGACTGGAATCTGATCGAGGTGGTTCGGGGTGGTTTATATACAGAATAACAGATACCCCGGGAGGGAGTTACAGACTGGAATCTGATCGAGGGGGTTCGGGGTGGGTTTATATACAGAATAACAGATACCCCCCGGGGAGGGAGTTACAGACTGGAATCTGATCGAGGGGTTCGGGGTGGGTTATATACAGAATAACAGATACCCCCCCGGGGAGGGAGTTACAGACTGGAATCTGATCGAGGGGTTCGGGGTGGGTTATATACAGAATAACAGATACCCCCCGGGGAGGGAGTTACAGACTGGAATCGAGTTAAAGCTGGTTGGTTGGGTTATTATCTGGGGATGGTGGGGTGGCGGTGATATTATGGTCTGGCTGTGGAAGGCCATCACTTACTTGTGCGCGTTTGAGGTTGAAGGATTCCTTTTCTTTGGCGAAGCAGTTGTCAGACATGGCTGATTGAATCTCCTTCAGTTTAGCCTGGGTGTGTTCGAGCTGCACCTTCAAATCCTCAGCGAGCTGGGCAGCTTCCACTGCCTGAGGAGAAAGCACTGTTACTGAGGGCCAGACTCATCGCAATTACACAGGGGGCTGGCAACAAGGGAGGGGGATAGGACAGTGTATTCTAACGCACCGTGAACCGCCGCTCTAAAAGAACAGTCGATCCGTTACCTTCCTTTTGTTGAGTTCCAGTGCCTGGCTTCTCAGCGTCAACTCCTTCTCCACCATGGCCAGGCTGCTCTGGAGCACGCGTTCCTTCTCCTCCAGCTTTTGCACCACCAGTAGCTGGGCATCTACCTATCGCAGGGCCAGGGCAGGGCAGAACAAACAGCCTGTTAGTCCCGTGGGCATATCCCGACTCCCCGAGGTTCTAAAGGAACAGGGACATCTCTCGCTCTCGAGGGCAGGCGGTGTGGCCTACTGAGACCCTCACCATCCTCGTCCCCCCAGCGGCCTGGCCACGTGCCTGGGGACCAGGGGAGGGTTCGGGGTTTGGAGTTGAAATCCCACCGACGCAGCCAGCGGAATTTCAATCCTGTGCAAGTCACGCTGCAGTTGGAAGCCTGCTTCTTTGACGGCGACATCCAGGGCGCTCCCGGTGTGACAGAACCCCCTGCAGTTCGCTCCTGCTGCATCCCTTCAGTCCCCAAGAACCATATCTAACCCCCTTTCTCCAAAACAGTCAACGTTTGGGTCTCGCCTGCTCTCTGTGGCAGACAATTCTTCAGGGTCCACACTCTCTGTTTACAGTCAGGGAGTTTTAGAGCCGTACAGCACCTAAACAGGCCCTTTGGTCCAACACGTCTGTGCTGACCCAGATATCCTAAATTAACCCAGTCCTGTTTGCCAGCATTTGGCCCATAAACCCTCCCTATCCACGTCCCCATCCAGATGCCTTTTAAATGCTGTAACTGTACCAGCCTCCACCACTTCCTCTGGCAGCTCGTTCCATACATGCACCACCCTCTGTGTGAAAAAGTTGCCCTTTTTATATATTTCCCCTCTCACCTTAAACCTATGCCACTCTAGTTTTGGACCCCCTACCCTGGGGAAAAGGCTATTCCCCCCTATCCATGCCCCTCATGACTTTATAAACTTCTATAAGGTCACCCCTCAGCCTCTGACGCTCCAGGGAAAATAGCCCCAGCCTATTCAGCCTCTCCCTGTAGCTCAAACCCTCCAATCCTGGCAACATCCTTGTAAATCCTTTCTGAGCCCTTTCAAGTTTCACAACATTGTCCCTATACAGGGAGACCATTAGTGAATGCAGTATTCCAAAAGTGGCCTCACCTGTACAGCTGCAACATGACCCTCCCAACTCCTACACTCAATGCACTGACCAATAAAGGCAAGTCTACCAAATACCTTCTTCACCGCCCTGTCTACCTGTGACCCCACTTTCAAGGAACTATGTCCCTGCACCCCCCAAGGTCTCTCTGTTCAGTAACACTCCCCAGCACCTTACCATAAAGTTTAAAAGGTCCTGCCTTGATTTGCCTTTCCCAAAATGTAGCACCTCACATTTATCTAAATTATACTCCATCTGCCACTCTCCGGCCCATCTGATCAAGACCCGTTTATACTATGAGATAACCTCCTTCGCTGTCCGCTACACCATCAAGTCGGTGTCTTCTGCAGACTTACTGACCATTGCTCCTATATTCACATCCAAATCATTTCTACAGATGACAAAAAGTGACTCAGTGGAGTTCAGGACCAGCACGTCCCTGTGAAAACGAAGGATGAGTGTGGCAACGTGCAGCAATCTTGGATGTTAGGAGAGATTGTCAGCTCGGTCGAAACGGAAAAGGAGGCTTCTGTGAGGTTTCGGAAAAACAGAAGCGAGACGGAGCCCTCAAAATCTACCCAAAAAGCAGGAGAGAGAACTCCAACAGGGAAACAGGGGCGACTAAGAGGGGCCACTGGCAAACAGGATTAAGGAAAATCCCAAGGCATTTTATACGCATCCAAGGAGCAACAGGGTAGCTAGGGAAACTGCGAGTTCACTCAGGGACAAAGGAGGGAATACGCGCGTGGAGCTGGAGGCAATGGGCGAGGTCCCTAATGGATACTGTGCAGGAGTATTCACTGAGCAGGAGGACACAGTGGATGGTGAGTCGCAGGAGGGCTATGTTGATGTTCTACAGCGTGTCGACATAAACAAAAAGGCATTGGGTATTTTGAAAAGCACTAAGGTAGACTCGCCCCAGGACGTGATGGAATCTATCCCCGAATGCTTGGGGAGGAAATTGCTGGGGGCTTGTACAAAACCTTCCTGTCTCGTTTGGTCATGGGAGAGGTCCCAGATGACCAGCGTTGTACCTTTAAGAAGGGGAACAGGCATAACCACTTACGTCGGCGCTGGGGAAATTACTGGAGAACATCCTCAGGGATAAAATTCACGCACATTCGGGGGGAGAAAAAAAAGGGAATTATTAGTAACAGGCAGCACGGCTTCGTGCGAGGAAGCTGGTG